GGAGGAGGGAGAGGAGAAATAGAGGAGAGAGAGAGAGAAGGGAGGAGAGAGGAGAGAGAGAGGTGATAGGGAGAGAGGGAGAAAAGAGGACAGGTGTGAGGTGACCTGCACGTGACTGGACTAGCGACTTCTGTGAGCCGTGGAGAGGACACGGCAACGGGTCATTAGGGCATCGGGGGCTGATGAACGCCATGGTGCTCATGGAGGCAGATCACACTGTTAAAGGACCCGACGGGTCCCATGGCTCTTTCTCTGGGCTGCTGAGCCTGAGCTCCCTTTCAGACGTGGCGTAGACAGCTGTGGCACAGAGCACAGAGGGGTGGTCTGGGGGGAAGCTTCCTCAGGGAGAGCTCGGTCCTGCTCTTCCAGACACTTAGGTCTGGAAATTCGAGTGCAATGGCCTGAGGAGCTATTCCAGCCCCACGAGGAAGGAGGACCAGAGAAGCCACCATGGAACCTTGGCAGTGACCTGGACCTCTCCCTGCAGGAGGCTGGCTGCTCAGGGGCAGGGGACTGGGTAACCCTTCTCAGCTCATAGGATCAGGACAGGGTGGTTCCTAGTTCCTGAGGCAGAGGAGGGAAGGTGAGGCTAGAATTGTGCCTGTTTTCAAGTCACGGGAAAGCGCCAGTGATGTCATAACTCGGTCTGAACAATACCTCCTCTCACCACTAGCGCCTAGGGGAGCTCTCCAGATGCAGAGGCACCCTTGCCCCTCAGGGAGGAGGCAACAAACGTCTCCTCATATCCGAGCGGCTGGACAGTGCAGGGGACCAATCCAAAGGCCTCTGTGGAGTCCGCCTCACTCAGCCCCTCGGAGGAAGGTGGTGCAGGTCAGCTGGAGGAAGTGAGCACCCCTCAGTGGGTCTTCCTCTCAGGCCCGCGCTGAGGAGGGAGAGCTAGTCCAGTGAGTCTCCTCTGCTCATACCCGAGGAATATTTTGAAAAGTCTCAGGTTAATGCTTAGATCATGACGGGCCCCAAGTCTGGGTGGAGAGGATTTCCTGGTTGTTCTACTGTTTGGGAGGGAAGAGAGAGGAGAGGGGTCCTGGGAGGCGGTGGGGTATGTGGTCGTGGTCAGCACTTTGGCACCACCTGTCTGAGCTTCGGTAAAACTCAGAAAACAAGAAGATGCTTGGCATCATCTGCTGTTCAGTCGGAGAGGCCTGGGCTCTGACTCTGCAGCGGGGATGAGAAGAAGGCGAGGTGGAGAGTAGAGAATGAGGAGTGGTGGGTGTGAGCCGCTCTCGGCAGCGCACGGAGGATGCAGACGGAACAGGGTTTTGAGGCACTCGGCTGCAGAAGGTTGTGAAAACTGGAGGAACGTTGTTTCAGCCTGAGGAATCTAGGTGAGGCTGCAGGTGATCCAGTCCTCATGGGGGCCACTGGCATCGGAAGTCCAGGTGCATATGACAGTAGGATTAAGAGACAGCATTTACTGAGCTGTGTGCGAAGGGTTTTGTGTGTATTATCTCATTTGACTCTATGCTCATAAAACCCGCAAGGGCAAGTATCATTATTGACTTACCTTGGAGGGCTTCAGCCTGTTGTGATTTAAGTTCACTTTTTCCTCTTTAAAAAACATAAACAATTTTCTATATGTTAGCATATAGTGTCTTGAACTACACAATAAAGAAGTTGAAGGAAGCAAAAAGAAATGGCTGGAAAAGGGATTGAGGTGCGGAGGCCCCGAAGCCTGACTCCCAAACCCGTGTTCCTGGCCAGGCCATGTTCTCCATCTGCCCCTTCCCTCCCTTCTTCTCTCCCACCTATCCACCCACCCAGTCACCTTTCTGAATATATGTATGCAGAGTATGTGCTTAAGCGCGCGTGCGCACACGCACACACACATGCACACACATATCACACACACACTCATACATACGTTAACAGAGCTCCTCTGTAGGTGGGAAGTTGCACTGGAAAACCTGAATCTCCTTCAGTGGGTTATAGTGAGATCTTTCGCAGGGTGTTGAGCTTCCTAGCTAACGTTTTTGGACTTACTGAAACATGCATTTCTGGGCTGGCAGGCAAGGAGACCATCGTGTCCAAGGCATCTCCGTTATGAGGGCAATGGAGTGAAATGCTAAGGCTCACCCGGTCCACAGCTCTGTCTGGATGCCTTCGTATTTTATAGTATCCAGCGCTCAAAATAGCAGGTAACAGTGAGCAGCAGGAGAGAATGGCAAGGTGGAGTGGAATGTCACCTGTTTCTACCTCATTTGTGTCCTAGTGTCAGGGATGACCACGAAGGCGGTGATGACTCCTGCAATTTAGTGTCCCTGCACCAGGGGATTTAGAGGGGTCATGCCACGCACTTGTCTCCTGATAACTAATACCTGACTCATTCCAGAAAGATGCCTACCCTGTCTGTTTGTTTGGGTTTTTTATTTTTGGTACCAGGGATCGAACTCAGGTCCTTGCGCTTGTGGGGTAGGCAGTGGAACCACTGAGCTAAATCCCCAGCCCCCCTGTTTGTTTTTTTTAACACTCCAGGAATTTTTAAAACTTTTCAGCTTCTCTTTCTAATTTAAGCCAGAGTTTTTTGTGTTACATAAGATATTCCCCCTCCATCTTAAAAATAACTATAAAACAATATATAGTTCCATGAACCGCACAGTACAACCAAAGGAAGTCAGAGGAAGCATAAAGAAAAACACTATGTGGTCATGGGCAGCATGAGACTGACAGTCAGGGGGAATTTGGTCTGAGGATTCAGAAGCTGAAAGCAATAGGTTCAGGCTTACCATGGCATAAACCTGATTCCTACTGATTCCTTTCTTTTCAAATTCCAGCAAACCTGGCTTGGGAGAAGCTGAGTCACCTGGAGGGTGTGCGGAAGGCTAGTTGTTACTTTGGACTTTCATATGCAAATCTCTCTTCTGTTTCCTCTCTGCGGAGTTGGGTGAGTTCTTGGCTTCCAAAGCTCTCCATGTCTGGTTCCTTTGGGAAAGGATGAAGATCCCCCAGACAGCACTATCTAACTGAGCGGCTCCACTGTACCCTGCACTGAGCTTTACACATTTTATATCCCTTATCCATCCCCACAATTGTGACAGGGTGGTGGTACTTCCCCGTTTTACAAGGAGAACTCTTAGGGTCAACAAGTCAAAGGATTTCCCCAGAGTACCTGATTGGTAAGTGATGGGATCTGAAGATGAGCCTAGATTGATGTGCTCCATAGTCACTCACACGAGGAAGAGAATCTAGAAGCATTGCATCTTCATTCCTCCTTGGGTTCCCATGGAGATGGACACAATTCCTCCTGTCCACCCACGAGCCTCACGTGCTGATGGTGTGACACTACTCTGCCCACACAGACAGTGGGCCCAAAGAGGCAGGGGCTCACTCACACGCTCACACATCTTGTAGTCTTTTCAGCCTTCACCTTCCGCTCCAAGCCAGAACATCAGCTAGGTCCTGCTCTCCTGCCCTTCACTGGCCCTTCCTTCCCTGAAACCAACATGGATGCTTGCACACCTCCCATTGTGAGATCACACTTCCCACTGCAGGAGGAGGTGAGAGGTGCCGACCTGTCCTGACTTATGTGTCTCAGTGTGAGACACATCGGTCTGCACTGCCACACTGGAAGTCGGAGTGCAGGACTGCCAGGGCAGCAATAAGTGGTGACTCACAGGAGTGTCTGGCGACACACCTGAGGACACAGACCCCACTGGGCAGGGCTAGAGAGGCCACCACCTGCACCTGGCAGATGGTCTGTGCCCAGCACCAACAAGACTATGGCAGGGCATAGCAGAGACCCAAGGTCAAGTGGAAGAACTGTCACTTTGGCTTTTAAAGTTAGACAGGTGATCTTTACAAACTTCTACCCCAAATCTTCTGATCCCACTATCACCTCCCCCAAACCAGCTCAAGCTGAGCGAAGAGCAATCCTGTGTAGATACAATGGACAGACCCATCACCTTATCACAGGTGGGTCCAGCATCACATGGTCAGGGAGGTGGATGTCCTCACCGGGTCCTCCTAACCCTCTTCAAAATGAAGAGGTCCAAGTTTGGATTTATTACTATTCTTGAATCCCCTAGATCAGCCTTAAAGCAGGCTGCAGTATTTGAAGGGTAAGGATGCAGGGAAGTGTGGTATCTTTGAAGAGAATTGGGGGCATGAGCACATCACTGGGGTAAAGACATGGACGGGCAGGTACGGGCCGTGTGGAGCTCTGTTAGCTGGGGAGAGAGACCTCCTGCCTCAGCGGTGGGGCTGTAGCAGATGGCACTTGACCAGGGTTGGTCAGCCTCTTGTTGACGCCACAGCCCGATTCCTACCATGTCTCAGTTGACAGCTAGTCTCCTGTTTCCTTTTCTTCAGGGCAACTAATAAGTAAGGAATCAGGCTGCGTCCTGAAATGCACACACGAAGCAGCTCACCTAGTACAGCATGCTGAATCCATCCTGTGAAAGAGGCCTGCTCTCTTTTTGGGAGCCTGTAATAAGATTCAGCTTCACCTGCGTGGGAGCCTCCAGTGGCCATGACAGACCCGCTCCTCCCCCAGGGCCAGGAATGTGGCACCGGGCTTTTGGGTGTGAGTGTGTGTGCAGGAGTGTACACAGAAACTGCCACACCTACACAGCACATGCCATGACAGGGAGGAGCGATTTGTCATCCTTGCCTTAACTGGCTCATCATTTTCAGACAGTGATGAGTCCATAAGGACGTGGCCCAGAAATGCTCTGCAGATGTGAAGGATCACCTTTCCAACCACGTGGCTTTATCTGCCCCTCACATCTGGATATCCTGGATTCCAACCCTGGCAAAGACATGAACGAGGCGTATTTCCTAAGGGGAAGCGGGGGTCATGTCTGGTCGCCCGGTTTGTATTCACAAGCCCACATCCCTACTCACACACATCTCCCTCTTTTGGTGTTTGCTCAAGTTGTGCAGTGTGGTCAGGCGACCTGAGCAGAGAAGTGTCTTGGTTAAGAATGAATTATTACACAGCCACTTTCTGGAGATGAAATCTTTTTAAAAATCACAATACTGAATATTAGCCTGAGCGTTTAATCTTTGGTGCTTCAGAAGACACGGGCCGTCAGAGGGCCTGAGGGCTGAGGCGTGGACAGTGACCGTGCACTTTTGAGGTCTGTGTGGATGCACGAACAGCAGTGAGGGGCGGCAGTGCTCAGGCAACTAGGCGCCCAGGTTCCCATCTCAGCGGTTGCTGATAGCAGAGTAACCCTGAAGGGCTGCTTGTCCACCCCGAAAGGGCGGATGTGACTTCCCCAGGGTCCCTTGGAGCTCTGATGTTCTATGCATTGTGCTCATTTCCACTGTGGGAACTGAGGACATTGGAGAAGCTGTACTGCAATCGCAGAAAGCTACCTGCAATCGCACGGACAAGGCCTGAAACAGTTCTGCAGTCCTTGCTGAGCCTCTGGGCTGGGGCTTCCGCCTCTGCGACGACCAGGCCTGGAGTCAGGCAGATGCAGAGCGAGATAGGGAGCCAGAGGGCAGGAAGAACAGGGTGGCGGTCTGGAGCCCAGCAGTTTCTACTGCATCTACGGAGGCCGAGGCCCATGGGCGCAGACCCCCAGGGCAGCAGTGAGGTGTGGGTGCGGTTACTTATCCTGCCCTGCCAGGCCCTTGGGAGCTGCTCTGCGATCAGTGGACTGAGAGGTTTGTTCGCAGGGGTGTGTGACACCGAGAGGGCCGTGGGCGAAGAGATAACAGACCAGCTCTTCTTGGCTCCAGGCTCTGTCCAGGCCCTGAACCGAGAGTGTCCAGCAAGGTGTGAGCCAGTCTGCATCTGCTGCAGGGATTCTTGGGACCTTTATGCACAGAATGTAATTTTTTAAAGTAACTTGCACATCCACTGTGTCATTTGATTTTCTTCTCAAGCTTGGCCACCTCCCTCCACTCAGTTCTGCGAAGGCTGAACTCTATCCATTGTAAGAAAAGCTCCCACAAGAGCAGAACTCTGAGCAGTGATTCCTTGTGTTACATAAATAGTGATATGCACAACTCCTCACACACGCAGACAAACTCGCACACACACACCCTCTTGTGTAGAGCTATGTCCATGCAGGCCCTCAGTGGCCAACGGCCTTGGATATAAACAGATGCTTGGAAGCGAGTCTCTCCGTTCCTTCACCTCAGAGAGTGAGGGCATCTGAGAAAAGCCCGCCCTGCCAGCCCCGAGCTCTGAGGTCGCAAAGCTCCTGAGGGGAACCCGAGAGCCCCTCCCATGGCTTAGTCTGTGGCACAGCTACTCCTTCAACAGCCCCAGCTTCTTCAGAGCCTCCCTCCTGTGCCCATCAGGGACGCCCTTTGGGGAAATCTTGACACTGACACAGAGGGGTCGAGGAAGCTTGTCACGGCTCTGTCCTTGGTAAGACAGATGCTTGGAGCTCTGGCCCTGCCCCAGCTCAGCTAACTTGCCTACCTGGATACCTGCAAAGTCCTTCCCAGTGCCCAGGGAGGCAGGGCGTGGCCGGGAGTTCCGAAGCACACTGGGAGAAGTCTTCTCCAGGATGGAGTCCTTTCCCAGAGAGGTGCTGGTTTGGGGGCTGGGGTCTTTCCCAGCTGAGAGGTAGCTGCTCAGCCCGATGCCCGAACGCTCCAGAGTGTTGGACTTGAAGTTCATCTGTTTCAGGCCTGGGATGCTGCTCTCCTGGAGAGTCGGTCCTGAGTCTGGCTTTGGCCCGGCCAGGGGACTGTTTGCCTTTGGGGTCTTTGGGATAGGAATTGGCATGGATTTGTGAGCTGTGGCCTTTCCTGGAGGGGCTTCCTGGGCAGTGGTGCAAACCTTGCCTGGAGAGGATGCCTGAGCCCAAGCCGGAGCCTTCTCTGCAGCAGGAAGAACTGCTGAGACTGGAGCCAGAGCCACTGGCTGAGGTGGGGCTGGGCCTGCAGTAGGGCCCTGAGCCTGGGTCTTCTTGAGCCTGATGGAGCTGGCGGGGTGGCTGAGGTGGAGGCTGGGCTCCTCCTGGTCCTGGGGTAGCCCCAGTTTCTTCAGTGCTTCTCTGCGTGCTTTCCTCTGCTCCTGCAGGGAAGAGGAGCCCGGGGCAGCGTCTGCAGCCTCGCTGTGGCGGGACAGCCAGCTCTGGGGCTCACTGTGGAAACTGCTGCGGCTGCTCTTCAGGACAATGTTAGGGGGCAGCTTCCGGGGCTTCGGGGCGGTGACAGGGCCCACACGGGCCAGTGAGTCGTCCCCAGATGGGAGGGGAGCGTCTTCAGCTCTAGCATCTTGAGGCCACTGGGCAGGAGGGGGCTGTGCACGTCCAGGGGCCCCTGCTGTGCCTCTCTTGCTGGCTGTATGGGACATGGCCTCCTCTCTCTTCGGGGGCGCGTGGCTCTGCTCTCCCAGCCCCTCGGGCAGGCTGTCCTCCCCACGCTTCTCCGGCCAGGTGTCCTGGAAAGCCTTGGGTGGGGGGATGAGCACTGCGTCCAGGCCCAGCGTGGCCCTCTGCGGGTTGGCTGGTGTCCCGAGTGGCTCACTGCTCTGGCTGCCCCCCTCTTTCCCGGGCTCTGCTACGTGTCCCTCAGATCCTCGTCCCGAGAAGTGGCCGTCAGTCTGGGCGCTGCTTTTCCTGAAGTTCTGGTCTCTGCTAATGTGGATGTTCCTCGGGAGGCTGTAGGAGCCAGACCTGAGGCCCAGGCCCCCCTCAGGAGGACAGGATGAGGGAATCTCGGTCACTCCTCTGGGCTCTGGGCTCAGCTGAGTAATTGTCTCCTCTGGGTTTCCTGTGAGGACAGGAGAAAAGAGTGCACGGAGGTGAGAGGCCTGCTGCAGAGGAAGAGCAAATACTCCCAGACCCTGGGCTCCAACCAGCGACAGGTAGGCTTTTTTTGTTGTTTTGTTTGTTTGCTTTTAAAGGAGCAACACTTTTATCTGGATATCATCTAGACCAGCGGTGACGAACCTATGGCATGGGTGCTATTGTTTTTGTTTTACGACAAAAGATGTTAACACTGAGTTGTTCTCTCCAAACTAAAACCTCAGTATTCAAGATTGACTGCAGTGTTGGCACGCTGCGATACACAAGTGGGTTTTGGTTGTGTTTGAACAATCAGTCTCAGGTTCGCCACCACTGATCTGTACAGTAATAGCAGATTCCTTTAGACTGGGGATTATTTTTCCCGATGGTTGGGCCTATCTACTCTTCATCCTTGGTTCAGGCTCTCCTGGCCTTCTACAGAATTGGGGAATTCAAGCTGGCTCCCTCCCGCTATCTTGGGGCTTCTTCCTTCTTCTACCTTCACTTTCTGTGAGACCTGGATGGTTGTGTAGCCGCACAGTGCCGTGCACTGGAGAGGGACGTGGCGTCTTTCCTTCCGGCAGGCCGGACAGGTGCTGCCAGTCATGAGGCCGGTGAGTCAGTCCCAAGGGGCAGTTAGCACCATGTTCCCGTTTCCTACTCTCTCTCCAGGGAGGGTCTAATGCATTGTCAATAAATATTTGCTGAATGAATGAATAAGTGATTGTAGCCTTGATACCACTGCGAGTGTCCTCAAACATAAAGTTCTCCCCACACCCGGGGACACAGGACCAGGCTGCATCCCCTTCTGGGCCTGGACACCACTGGCTCTCCACCTTCTCTAACAAAGGTCTCCAGGTGCCACCCACTGCTGCTGGAAGCCCTTTCCTTTTCCATCTGCTGCAGCCTCACCTTCTGGGCCCTGCAGGTCAGCCCCCAGACTGTCTCAGTCTCCCCAGGGCCAGCCATCCAGGCCTCTCCAGCCCTTCCCAGCCTGCAGGGTCTCATCTCTTTAGAATTTCTTCACGGGAGTGTGGGAGCCATCTAAAACCCTTCCCTGTCAGGCCTCTGCTACTTCCTGGACAGACCGGAAGCTGGCTGGATGGAGGTCCCTCCTTCCCTCCAGGGACAAGGCCAGGAGGGTGGTGAGGAGTGTGGGTCCCACTTCCGCCGTGACTCTGGGAACAGAGGGCAGGCAAGGTGGGAAGGGCCAGAAGCAGGCACTGACTTTTTTGGTGTTGCTCCCGGGACAGCCTGTCTTACCCTGGAGAGCCGGCTGGGTGATGGGCAGTGCTCTGAAACCTCGGGGAGTTGGAGTTGTCGCTGGCTCTGACTGGTCAGTGGACAGAACGCTCTCAGCCTCACCATCCAAGGAGCCAATGGTCTCCTCTAGGAAGAGCAGACACTCTTTCTCCTCAGCTGACAGGAAGTCGTAGCTGTTATCACTCTGCAGGGAGAAGGAGTCATGAGAGACAGCTCTCTCTGTAGAGACTGACAGGACCCGAGAACCACCCTGTTGTGGGAAAGAATGCAGAGAGCTGGAAGCTTTTACTCAGGCTATACTTGCAAACCTGTCCCTTCCAGAAACCAGGCATCAGGGAGAGGAGAGAGGTCAGGCTGGGGACTCGCCAGCACCAGCTCTGGCGGTGGCACAGGTAGAGGGCAGGGGCCCCTTCTCCTGTTCAGTCCTGGGTACAGGTCAGTAGACCCAGGTCCTAAGTCCAACTCTGCCGGACCTTTGTCAAACATTGTACTACAGGTGTCGCCCTCTCAATGGAGTTATGTGGACAACAAAATGAATGGTAGGGCTCTTAACTTCTCAGAGGTCTTCTGCATGCCTGATCTGGTATGCCAAGGCCAGTACGAGGACGGACAGGAGATGCAGCCAACTGCTGGCTGCCAGGCCAGTGAAAACAGCAGCATGACTACCACAGGTACACTCACCAAATAATTTACACTTTGAACTGCATTCCACGCAGGATTTTCCCCCTTGTATATTGACTTACTCGATGGCATTTGGCTCTGGCTGACATTCAAGTAAGTGTCATTTCTTAAGCAAATATTAACTTCAGGAAGGAGGGTGGAGAAACTGGTTGGTTTGGTTAGTGGGGAAAACAACTTAGTGCTAAATATGAGGCAGACATTAAAGCAGACCATTTTCATGATGAGAAGGCACAAAGCGATATTTGGAAGAAGGTACTTCGGCCCCCCCCCGCTGATGGTTCTGCCCATGCTCTACCAGGCCAGGAAGATTGAGGCTGAAGAGAAGACCAAAAGAACACAGGAGAACATGAGAAACCCAGCATGAGTCTTTTCCTGCTATTGGGAACACTTTAGAGTGGTATAGTCTCCAGATCCATTCAGATGGCCAGGGAAAATTTTGAGATGGCCCTAATGATATCCAGGGGGGAGGCAGTTGTTAAATAATACTTTTCCATCTGCCCCTGGCCTTAAAAACTTACCTGGCCTCTATGGGGTCTCTGTGTCAAGGGCAGCCCCAAATGCAGCCCTTGGAGTCACTTGAATGAACATCTTTACTGTCATCCTCTTGAAACAGCCTGGCCCACAATAAGCTAATTTCTCTAATTTCTTCTTTGTGGATCATTTGCTTTGAAAGCCTTTAATCTCTGTCACATTCTGTGTCCAGCAGAATGAGACTATTCACACTGGGCTCAGCCTGTCAGAAACAGGAGGCTGCCTCTGCATTCCCATCCCGTAAGGCCAAAAGAAATTCTGCAGGCTGTCTACATTTTGACTGTGCGTGTGTGTGTGTGTGTGTGTGTGTGTGTGTGTGTTGCTTTTCACCTCCATTTTTACATATCAAAATCCATGAACTATACTAAACCTCTTTGGCCTTCAGTGGAGACCCTCCTAAATCTTACATTTTCGGATATCTGTATAGAACATTAAATAAGAAAGGCTACATTCTCTAAGGTTCTTACGTATGTGACAAGGATGAACAATGAAGAAGTGTTTGCTTTTGGATGTTGGGCAGACTTAGTCCTTCACACCAGTCTTAGCAATAACCAAGATTTGAATTCATGCCCAGAAAAATCAGTTTATCACATGCCATTCACAAACAAACACATTGACCTCGAGTTTCTCCGACTCTGCTCGGAGATGGGCTGTTTTCTTTTCTACGCAGAGGAAAGTGCTCAGGGCTTTATATCCTGTGTGCATTTCCCCATGGGAACCTATGAACTGGGTGTTAGTACGGCCCCCATTTTAAATCCGAGGAGACTGGCGGTTAGACAGATTCAGTCTTTTGCCCAAGGTCATAGGGTGTGTAACAGGACACCCAGATGTGTGTGGCTCCAGAACTTGGGCTGCTAGTTACTTTACTTCTTTGGAGAAGACCAAGCCATGCTGCCCTCCGCAGAGAAGAGTCCAGGCGCTACAGGGGTGCTCTAGCTTCCGCCCGACCTCAGGCCACAGGCCCACTGCTTCTCCTCACCTCAACCCTCAGGCCAGTGCAAGTTGGAGGAAAAGTCTTATTGGTCCTATTGTCTTCCTCTCTGAGACGGTCCTGCCCCGTTCTCTGTAGACTAGGGATGACTCAGAGGCGGAGGGCACCCACTAATGCTGTGATTCACTGGCAGGAGAGGAAGATGAAAGAGGAGGTGTGGGGACCAGGGCTGGGAGCAGAGCGGGGTGTGGCCAGGCGACAGGAGGCGGTACATACAGATCCAGAGTGGGTGGAGGTGGCGCTCGTCATGCTGTCCCAGCTGCTGAGGCGGGTCTCGGGTGCTGAGCCAGGCCCTTCTGGCCACAGCTCCTGCTCAGGCATCGCCTGAAGCAAGGGGCAGGGGTGGCGATAGGAGCTCCCAGAGGGGAAGCGGAGGGAAGCGAAGAGTGTCCCAGGCCGGGCCTGAAAAGAGAAGAATCAAAGCCATGTGTGAGGCCGGCTGCTGCACGGCTCTGCCCAGGCCCTGGGGCAGCGCGGCGGCAAAGACACCAAGCAAGCAGAGAGCTGGAAGGGGCCCGTGGCCAGCCGGGCCCTGATTGCCACCCCCAGCCTGCAGGAAGGACACAGGCCGCCTCAAACACCTGCAGAAGGCAGAGGCGTAGGAGCCACGGAGGTCGTCGAGGTGGAGAGGAATTCCCATTACTTTTCTTAGCTGCTCTGCTCTTCAAACCAGAGAGCCTAACCTACACTTTTCTTCGTATAAACAATAAATATTACAGGGAGAGACATGGCAGCTTGGGGCCTGCCGGTGTTTGGGTCGAGGTTCAAAAGGCTGAGCCGTGTACAGTCTACAGTTATTTGCTTTGAACCACGCCTGCTTTTCCTCATTGCATGGGGTCAAAGGAAGGATTTCATGAGAAAACAGTTAGCACAGTTTAGTTGTTAGTAAATACTCAAACACTTAACGAATACCTAAAATTGTTCCTGTAATAAGAAAAAGGTAAGATCCATCTAGGACCAAACTAATTCCCTACAGCAAGGGGAACAAGAATTTAGAAAAGAAGGGCACTGGTTACATGAGAGGCCTGAGAGAAGCCCAGCACCCTGGCCGGCACCTACCCTCAGGCAATGCCATAAGGAGCTGCTTCACGTCAAACACTTCCGGCCGCTCATGGCCAGCAACTGTCAGCTGCTGTCACAGTCAGCATCGTCAACACCACCACAACACCATGACGAGGCCAGCGTCAGCCCTGGCCCGAGGCAGACACATGCAGAGGCTGACAGAGCCCGATTTCCCTCCCTCCTGGGTGTCGCCTTTCTGCTGTTGCCTGTGTCCCCAGCAAAGCTCCCCAGCCTGTGTCAGATGAACAAGAGGAATGTCCTATGCAGCTTCCCCCCAACTCCAAATCCTTAGGGAAAACCAAATCCAAATCCTTTGTGACAATAGTAGTATCAAAGGACACTGTGGCTGCTTCTCCACTGAGAGTCCCAAGGGTTTGCATTTGCCTCTTTGTGGGAAAGACTCCGCCACAGCTGAGCAGGCCAAGGTGACTCCTGCATGTAAAATGAAATTCTGAAGGAATTATAACCCAAAGACAGTTTCAAGGTGAAACAGAAGGTTAGGGGAGAGCTGGAGTAATGTTTATCTGATTCTGAATCTGTATTTTGTCCATAACAGCATGCTGTGTTTTAACTGTCTCCTCTGCTCTCCCAGTACAAGGTAAAATGTTTAACTGAGACCTGGCGACTCGGGTTCCGGTACCGTGGCAGGTGTCCTCGTGGCCTCTGCCAACAAGTGCTTCCACGCCAACATCAGGTTGGGGCTAGCTTGGGAGAGTCGCCCTTCCAATCCTGTAAGCTGGCAAGAGCAAGGGCCCATGGAGCTCCTCTTCCACTTGGGAGGAGCCCCCTAAAGGGGCAGAGTGGGAGGGGCAGGGCACCAGGGACAGAAAAAGAAAGCTCCCAAATGAGCCGGACATGCACGGCTCTAGAAGGGCCCAGCACCTCGCCAGAGATACGGAGGGAGGCAGGGGTACCCAAGAAGCGCCCTGGTGACACAGCTTGGAGGGCTTCCTCGTGAGGTCAGCTCCTCACTGCTGGGAACATTAAAGCAACAGGAGCACGAGGGGCCAATGGGTGACGTGTGGCCACCCCAGCTATGCACGCCGTTAGCGAGTGCCCCGGCTCAGGGCTCTGCCCATTCTTCACATTCTGTGGGTCTGAGGCCATCACAGCCTGGTCTGTTTCCCACAAGACCAGGCGCTCGGACAATCCTGTGTGGGCCGAATACCTCATTGCTCTGGTGTCTACTGGGCTGTGCAGCCGGATGGCTTCCTCTCGGCTTCTGACCTGTTCGTGTAAGCTTTTTCTTAAATATTTTATCTCCTGAGACTATAAGGCTGAGTGGAATCCGGGCAATGTTTTCGGTTAAATTAATATTTATAGGCACCTAACAGGACTAGGGGTATGAAACCGCGTAAGACAGAGGCACTGTTTTCAGGAAATCAGTGTGGATCCGAGGGTCTAGTTTTGGGTTCCAGGTCTCCTGTATGTGAAACTGGGGCAGTAACTATTTCAGGTGACTTGATGTAGTTAATATAATATTCTCTCTGGATAGGGGAACAGATTCTGCCTCTTCCTTTCAGAGAAAATGAGTACGGTGTTCTTCCGAATGTGCCTTGTGCTCTGCAGTGGGTTGCTCGCCTCTCCTCCTCCCAAAGACGCCCTCCACACTCGGATCCCAGACCCTGAAGCAGCATCAGAGACACGGACACCAGGAATGGCACTGCTTCCCAAGGATGCAGCAAGCTGTCGCTTACACATTGCTCCCAGATATCAAATCCCTTCTTCAGATCCACACGGCAACAGGAAGGCAGGGAGATTTTCTTCACTGTACAGAAGAGCAAGCTGGGGCTCTTCCCCCTGCCCCTTCCTAGGGGAAATCGAAAACGGCCCATACCTGCACATACAGGGCAGCCCATGCATCTGGGCCCCACAGGGCATGCTTCAGGGGCTGCCAAGGTGCCAGGCGCCGTGCAGTTAATGAAGGGTCATCGGCCACCCTGACTGAATATGAAAATCCTCGAGGTCACCCTTGCGTCTCCACTTCATCCCTTAAGCTGTGCATTGTCCTTAAACCCTGTGCATTGTACTTCCAGCTTATGGACCCACGACCAGATGCATGCTTCCAGAGTAAAGAAATGGCCCCAAAGGCCACCGAAGATCGGGTCACCAGGCACCACACAGTCACTGCAAGAGGAACCTGGCCCGAAGCCACAGCTGAGTGACCCCTCAGTGCTACGCCTGGTCTTCTAATCTGAAAAGTTGGGACAGTAAAACATATTTTCTTTTTCCCACTTTCAGCTTGGACCAACCTAAATGCTGTATTTCCTTCTACCAGTTTTACAACCTTGAAACTTGGGGGCTGTATCAGGGCAGCCATCGAAACTGGAGCTGGTTCTATTCTGCCCGATAAGAAACATGAGAAACCAGCAAAACAGTCAAGGTGAAAGTTTGGTATCTTTTCACCCTTGACCTCTTTGGAAGACTTATGAGGAGGAGGGAATGGGTTAAGAAGTATGCACAGCCTATAATCAGGGCCACCCATTCAAAGACACACTAAATATTAACCACTCTGCTGAGAGTACCAGGCCTCCAGAAGAGAGTAAACAAACTGCACGCGGAGTTCTGGCATCTGAAGTGGGTGAGGTCAGAACAGCTCCAGCCTGGTCCAGCGTTGTTCTTTCCAGGCGTTGGCTCCCTTGTCACCTTCTCCCGGAGCCCTCGCCCATCCGACAGGAGCTCGCCCCCTGCTCTCCGCGGTCCGAGAGGTTTTCTTTTCCTCTCAGACCTGGATGCCTGTTCTTTGGTGACTACTCATAAATGTCCTTGGGCCGATGAGCACACCGAGTTGAGTGCCAGCAAGGCAGAAACATGCACACCTTTTTTGTGAGCACACAGCAAGTTTCCCTGTGTGTTCAGGCCGTACCTCAACGTGCGCTGCGGACAGGTCTGCAGCTCGGGCGGCAAATGTGGGGGCTGGTCCTTTACTGTGGGGGAGGCTAAAGCGCCCCTGCCAGGCCCAGAAACTCGAATGTCCTTTCAGGGCTGGGCATGCCAGGCCCTGAGAGCCTGGCCCTGAAGAATTCCCACTTCCTTCTTCTCCACACAAAGAGGAGCTATGGGCCACGGTGTTCACCCCCCCAGACGGGCGACAGCTGATGTGCTACTTGACTCAACGTCTACATCCCGCTTCCTGGTGCAGGGGCACCTGCCACTCACACTGCCACGGGGACACCCTGAGACCCACAGCGCAAAGCCAGTCCCTGGTCCGGGGCTTCTCTGTGCTCTGTGCCATGCCACCTTGGCCAGAGCCCCACCTGGTGCTGTCACCAGAGTAGACATGCTGCCTGCTGTGCAACAGTATGGGGTGAGGCCCTGCATGGCCATGGAGCTGTTTCCCAGGGTCTGCAACCATTAACAGGCAAAGTCAGAAAATTAGTGAGTTGAACCCACATAAACTCGACCTTGTAGCTAGATTATCTGTGGATTTTTCCTGAAGACGAGCTGGTATTGTGAGCTGGGAGTTTTCCCCACATGCCCAGTCCTCAGTCCCTTTACAGACAACTCAGCACAACTCACACCTTGCACCCTGGCCACAGGGAGCTCCATTATTAGCCACCCCCAATCAATCCCCAACACACTGCACCCCTTGCTAAAACAAAGGGAGACACTGGGTTGATAAAGTCCCGGGAGAGTTTCCTGTTACAAAAGCAATGGAAAACCAAGGCACCTTACTCACCTGAGTGATGCCCCACTTTGACGACTTACACCCCGACCATTCTCTTCCAAATCCACAACTCAACCTCAACTGCTCAGAGGTGGAAATTTCCCAAAACAAAGCTCTTTTCTTCCCTTGTTTGTACAATGCGCTTACCCAGCCTAAGAAAGTGAACGGGACTGTCCCAGTCCGGTCCCCAAGCTCAGAAGCTGCCGCTCCTCTGTCCCAGGCTAGGTGCAGAGAATTGAGTAACAGAAAAGACTAAAATGTATAATAGGTCATGTGAAATAGGAAGAAAAGGGGCAAAGGGGAAGGAAGTGGGAGGGCTGGGGGAAAGGATAGAAGGGAATGGGATTAATATGAGAAAATGGAAAAAAGGAAATAGGGAGGAAAGGAGGGGTTGAAGGGAGGGCTGGGCAAGGGTGAAAAATAAGAACCAAGAGAGACTATGGAAAGGTGCAAATTTCCAGTGATGAATGTCATT